CAATGATTAAAATGTTCATCTTTTTATAAAAGAAATCTAAGATTCTGAGGCTACAAACATATGTTAAGTTTGTCCTGAGATTAACCATTTTATCAGACATCCAGCTCCATTGTTCCGGGATAAATTCTTAAAAGGTTCATGGGATTAAGCAGTGCTAACAGTTTATCCGGGGACATCAGAAAATGTGTCTGAAAGGTCTTCCTGGACTTGCGTCATTGAATCAATGGTAGAAAAGTGGCAGTGTATTCAGCCACTCGTTAAACCCTGATTAGAAGGGCATTATAGGTACATACCAAGCCCAGGATATTTCCATTCTGGGACAAACACAGGTGGGGCTCTAGGAAAAATGTCAAGGATGACGAGATTCATGGTAACTTTTTCCGATGGAGGTGTTTAAAAAAAACAAACTTACATGTCATAAAGCAGTGATATTATTTTTTAGGGTCTCATTTTTAATAAAAGCCTAGTGTTTTTTGGAGGTTTGGCTTGGTAATTCTTATGGGTGACAGGCCAGCTGATGAAATGATGTAGGGTTGCTAGAACATGTTCCTTTTAAGAAAGGACTTGGAGGAGAGAGACCATTTCAAGTCAAAGGGGGGAGGTATGAGTGAATGCTCAAAGCGCAGACAATGGATAAAGGGAGGAGGCAGGGGGTTATAAAGGAGATTGGAGAGAATTCAGGGAACAAGAACTGGAATTACCCTCAGATTGATGCTTTTATAACAGAGGGCTATTTTAGAATCATCTTATTGCTGCTGAGTTGTTATCACTAATCTCCTACTCTGAAGCTATAGGCCAGTGAACTTTTAACCACTTTAAAAGGGAAGGGAAGGGTCGCTGCTACTCAGGTTTGGGCATCAGCTGTTACAGTGCAACTGTTAGGTCTGCATGCTCCTGTAGATAAAAGAAGCATGCCCTTGCCAAGTTAAGCTTTAACCCTCACCATGCATAAATTGACATTGATGTACCTAACCTGCATTCCTACAGGAGTATGCTGATTTCACTTACCCATTCAAACCTTTACAATGTGTCGTTTGATATATCCATACTACCATTACAATTGTCTAAATTCCGTTGAGTTCTGATTTAATCTGTCTGGTCGTCTTAAGTGTGAGTGTCTGGCATTAGACTTCTGCACAGCTAGAAAATATCTGATTTTTGTATTCAGGGCAGTCTGCCTGCCTGCCTTTTTCTCCAGAAACTTACACGGTCAGGTCCCCTGCGTATAACTAGACCACTGTTTCCCAAAGGGTGTGCTATGACCGTGATAGATGAACCTGTTAAAGATAAGTGTTCTCCTCCCTCATTGAGCATCCTGTCCCTGCTCCCAGCTACTCCAGCAGTGCCTTCATGTGCACCTCTGGAGATTGCTACTGCCATTGCCACCACACCACATCCCTTCCTTTCCTCCTACACTCCCGGTGCTGCCAGGAGGGGGTATGGAGATGGTCTGTGGCATGAGACCCTGTAGGAGCAACCTCAGTCATGGGAGCTACTCTTGCTCCCTGAGATAAAGAGCAGGACAGGAGGGTGAAGACCAGTCCCTGTTGCCCTTAAGTGGCACCAGCTTTACAAAGTGGGGAGGCCATACCTCTTTCTGACAGAACAAAAAATGCTGATTCTGATTGAGGTGAAATCCTATTTGACTTTAAAATTCTATATATATATATATAAAAGCCTTTGTCTGTCTGTCTGTCCGTAATGCAGAGGTGGCAGGGTTGGCGCATTGCTATGACGGGGGTGACAGAGCAGACAGAGCGGAGTGGGAGGCCAGCAGTACTGGCCTCGCCCGCACTGGGCCTGCTCCTAGGACGCAGAGGGGGACAATGGGGACCGGAGTGCTGCCATGATGGAGGGGACAGACCGGGGGGTGAGGCCAGTGGTGCTGGCTTCTCCTCCCCAGCTTGCTCCTTGGCGACTGCAGCATGGGGTGCTGATGGCACAGCACTGGCCTCGCCCTTTCCTCACATGGTGGAGCACTGCCATGACAGCAGGGACTGGGGCTGGAGCGCCGCCCCTCTGCTGCCGCCCTGCTCCTCGGAGCCAGGGGTCAGAGTGTGACCCCCAACACCAGCCAGCGGGGGGGTGGCGGTTATAGTAGCAGTGCCACCGCTGCAACCATGGCTGCTCACTGCAGCTGCCACCAGGAAGCTTTCCCCACCTCCCCCCATTCCTGGGAGGTGGTGGCGGCAGTGGGCCTCGAAGGGCAGGGGCACACGGGCCCACACCCAGAGGGGAGAATGGGGGGGAAATGGACCTGAAACAATGGGGAGTAGGGGGAACCCAAAGCAATGGGGGGGGAGCTGGACCCCAACCTAGGGAGGGGGGGCAATGGTCCTGGCCCTGGATGGGGAGGGGGGCAACATGGGCTTTTGTCCCCACCCCCCATCATGCTTGACAGGCAGTTTGCTAGTACTTACTTAAATGCTGTACTAGTGGTGGGTTAATCTTGAAGTCTTTCAGACCTATATGGTGGAGCAGACTTGAGGGTAGTACTGTAAAGAGGCACATAGGTACTGATAGGTAAAATATATAGATATATTTGGTGCAGGATTGAAAAAGCTAAGGCTCTTTGGAGAAGAAGGGAAGGAAAAATAGCAAGGGAGGAGTTAAAATAAAAAATACTATGCTTCTGGTGTTTAGCCTGATCATGTATTCTCTTAAAAACAAACTTACAGTTCAGGCTTAAGTGCCCTAAAGTTCTAGATATTCGCTGTAACTGTCACTGTCTGTCGACCAATATATATATATATATATATATATTTTTTTTTTTTAAGTAAAAGATAAAACCTGACTCGGTGATCTAACACTTTAATAATTTGCTATCATAAAATAGTTTAAAGTATAAATGCTTTATGCTAGGCCAAGCTGGACGCTAAAAATGTTTTGTCTAGGACATGAGATAATGGAAAGTGTATTGTGGCATGTGAATTACTTTAGCCTCTTGGTGGTAAATGTTTGCTTAACCAGAAAAGAATGTGTTGTACTCCTTGCCAAAGGAAAGGTATTGCCATACTCTGTATTTTCAGTACTGTAAATAAAGCAGTAAATATGTTTCTGTTCATGTGTGTTAATCCACAAGTTATGAATGCATTCATTCAATAAGAAATGTAATATACTGTTACCCATTTAAAGGGTTTCAGTAAGAACAGGTTATAATTACTTTGGGTTGAGAGAAACTTGAAACCAAATATTTTCATGATGATTGAAGTTGAATGCAAGAGAGAAACAGCTATTGCTTAAATTAAGGTTCCTCCAATCCCAGAAAACTCAAATCTTTGTTTACCTGCAGAATTTTCTTTTATCTGTGATTTCTGTGATGTGCTGTTCTCAATAACAAATTACTGTAAATAGCCAAGGTTATCAGTAACTTTTCATCCATGCAGTCGGGCAGTGGTGATCAACTTCTTTGGCCAGTGTGCCAGGTAGGCAGTGCCCATGCTGTCTGTGGGCCAGATCTGTCTGTTGTTCCCAAACCGGCATGAGGCAGTCATGGCAGGACCCATCTGGCTATGTAGAGGGGATCAGGGGGCAGCCTAGCTCCCACCTGCCCTTGCAAGGTGGGGTGGGAGGGCATGGCATAGCCCTGTAAGGGGAAAAGGCATGGCCCAGGCTCAACCTGGCTTCACAAGAGGACTTGTGAAGGGCTTGACCTTATTGATTGCCATCGCTCCCCGGCTTTCAAATTTCCCGATCTGTAGGGATCCCTGCTGGCTGGATAGATACCTATGGCTCTATAGGCTCCATTAAATTGAGCACCCCTACAGTAGGGTCATTTGCAAAGAATAACTCTACATCATGTAAGGGATCATAAAGGAAATAGCAGTAAGGGAAATGCACACGCTTATTCTCTATCTGAACTTTATTTGCCTTTCAACTGATACAGTAGTTTACTAGTAATTTAATAATCCTGATTGCAAGAAGGGAGTCACATTATACAGATTGTGGCATCATAATATCTGAGCATCTATTAGATGCTGCAATTATATAAAGTAATAACAACAAGGCTTGCCTTATAAAAACCTTCAGGAAATTTATTCTGTCCTTTTGGTTTTGTTGTTTACAGAGTCTGCTGAGTACATTGCAATGATAGGATGTAATTGTAGGGAAAATGCTCAGTTTACTTGTTTATTATTACGGCATAATTTGTGCTACATAAGGCAGATGCCTGCACTGGCTTTGCATGCCTCCTTCCTGAAGGGGGAGGAGAGGATTCCATATATGGAAAAGGTCTGCTGATCCTAACCATGTGACCCAGCTAAACACACAAATAAGGGAAGTTTTTTTTTACTGGGAGTTGTGTTGGCAGATGATACTATGGAGAGAGGCTTTGGCAGAGGGATGAACAGCAAGATTTGTGCCCCTTCTTAATATGATTCCAATAATAGGGTTTGTACATTGTCTATATCATATATCCAACTAGTTTGATCTGTAAGATAGCTGCTCTGGATGCCTCTGGCATAATTTTGCTTTTTAGCAGTGTCAGCCAACATGTTCTCTTTATTCTATCTGTCTAATAAACCATTGACAATTCAAAAGCAATTCTGATAATATTAAACATGGATATTAAACCATTAAATATTAGAACCTTAAGCATGAAAACTTACAGATACCTCTAGTTTTAAACAATGTCCTAACAGTGATGGATTCAGAAAAACAAGTTGAGTATTGAATTTTGTATGTTTCATTCAGAATGTGGTTTTGAGGACTAAGGTGTTTATTAAGAATTCTTATAATGTTCCAGTCTTCAAAGGAACTTTAACCTCACTCATTCCTACACTCTTAGACTATAAAATGATAGGAAGTCTTAAAATATAAATTTTGATATAAATGAATAGTAATACTGATTTATTATTTACATTTTGCTTCCAGTTGAAAATCAGATCTTTCCCTGAAAAATCACAACCTACCATTCTATTCATATCTGGAAAATAAAAGGAAAAACCTTACTGATAACTAAGTGCTATAAAAGTTAAAGTAAACTTTTCGATTTCTTAAAGGTACAATCAGCTGGATACCAGTAAAAGCCTTCTAGACAATTTGAAAGACAAAGTAATAATTGAGTACCCAACGTTACTCGTGGTTTTGAAAAAATTCAGGAATGGCATGGTGGTTCTTGGCCAAGGTAAGCATAAATTTATTTCCTGTTATGCTGTACTTGGATATTTTAGTTGAATAAACAATGATTAAGTGTTCACCCTTTATTAATGCTAGTCATGTACAATATGTATTCATTTCCAAATGTAAGGGATTGCCAGTGGGGAAAAATGTTATGGGCTTTTAAAAATGCTCTACTTCAATACCCTTAGTAGGTGGCTTAAAGTATAGAATACATACCTACGTTTGTGCTTACCAGGATTACTGATATTTGGCACATTTTCTATAGTGTAACCACAGCAGTAAAATAAATAATATTGTTAGACTTACTGTATTTAGTTGAATCCAAGACGATGTTTATTCACCATTCAATATGGGGAGGGGAAAAAAAGCCTAGTCTGAATCTGGGCCAGGGTGGTTAGAGGTGCCTGGAAGTGGGGAGAACATGAGGAAGGCCATTTGGGAAGGGACATGCATTTTGAATTTGCAGCAGCAATCAATTGTTAAATATCAAGATGACTAATATTAACAAGTTATGGAAAACTAATAGGTATGCTTGACAGTTGATCTGTTAAACCATTTTTTAGAATAATAGCAATGAATCAAGATGTGCTACATTCTATGGCTAGTAAGTACAGTAGAAAATACTATCTTTACCCAAATCAAAGATAACTTTAAATTTATGATGACCCCCCCCATTAGATTCTATATATGGAAAATGACAAACTTGTTATCAATTTCAGTGTATAGAATACAGCTATTGGAGAGAAATCTTGAATTCATTCCCCCCCAGCTGTACCAGATGGACCCCTACTACATCCCCTTCCACCCCCACCACCACAGTCAGTGCCCACTGGTACTTAGAATCGTAGAAAATTAGGGTTGGAAGGGACCTCTGGAGGTCATCTAGTCCAGGACCATTCCCAACTATATCATCCATGGTTGTCATGGGTGACTTCAACTACCCAGACATCTCCTGGGAGGATCACTCAGCAAAGTCTGAGCAGTCACAAAGCTTGCTATCATGCATGGATGACATCTACCTAACTCAAGAAGTCTACGGGCTAACGTAGGTAAAGCACTGCTAGACCTGGTACTGGCTACTGGGGATGACCTAATCAGCAACCTAATGATCGATGGGAAGCTGGGTGACAGTGACCACAAGCTGATCACCTTCACCATCCGCCATAAAGCTGGCAAGTCAGTCAGCAACGCTGAAGTCCTTGACATCAGGAAAGCCGACTTTGACAAGCTCAGGAGGCTTGTCAGTGAGGCCCTAAAGGGACCACAACCCCAGGGGGAGGGGAGTTCAGGAAGAGTGGTTGCTCCTCAAGGGAGCGATCCTCAGTGCACAAGCTAATTCTGTTCCATCTCGGAGGAAAGGCAGCAAGAGGGCACGGCAGCCCCCGCCACCCCGACTCTCCAGGGATGTAGCAGACCACCTGAGGCTAAAAAGAAAGGCCTACAAAGAATGGAAGATTGGATTCACCTCCAAGGAGGATTATTCTACACTGGGCTGGTCCTGCAGGGAGCAAACCAGGAAAGCCAAGGCTGCAACTGAACTCCAAATAACTTCAAGCATCAAGGACAGTAAAAAGTCCTTTTTCAGATATGTGGGGAGCCAGAGGAAAAGCAAGGGCAACATTGGACCCCTGCTAAACCAGATGAGACAAGTGATGCTCAGGAAAAAGCCAACCTATTAAATGGGTACTTTGCATGGGTCTTTCATCAGTCCCATGGGATGCCCCTGCCCACTATGGGACAGGGAGGTCCGGGTGAGGGAGATCCCCTCCCCTCCATCAATGCTGACCTCGTGAAAGAACACCTTGAGAAACTGGATACCTTTAAGTCAGCCGGCCCTGACAACCTACACCCCAGAGTACTCAAGGAGCTGGCAAGCATCATAGCCCAGCCCCTGGCACAGATCTTTGAAAACTCCTGGCTCTCTGGTGTAGTGCCCGAAGACTGGAAGAAGGCCAATGTGGTGCTGATCTTCAAGAAAGGGAGGAAAGTGGATCCGG